TGTAAAACCTTCACCTCTAGATTTTGGCCTGAGACCCCCCAGAAAGCACAACAAGGTACTCTGGTGGTTCATTTTGGATGCCCTGGAGACAGACCCACAAGATGTTTGAGAGCCTTTCAATTGCTCCCCTGAAGTCAAAAAAAAGACACAGCACAGACACCTGAAGCAGCAGCAATGTACATACAAACACAGCAGCCCACCTGGGGAAAAGAACGCACTTGTGGTTTATAAAATGACCTGTTGTGAGACTTCCAGGCACAAACAGTAAAGGTAGATGAGGAACAGCATTTTATAAGACCTTCAGTATCAGAATGTGCGTTTGCAGAATTTGCATTTATGTATTGTCAGCTTTGCGTTGCTTTGTCAATAGATATCAATAGATGGCTTTCTCTTGTTTTCTCTGAGGTTGCAATCACTTTGTGCCTTTGTGGAAGCGCAGTGAGCTATCCTCAGCAGTGTTGGATTTGCTGACAAAGGGATTGGACTGTGAAAAGAAGAGCCTGAATGCATTGTTGCACAAGAAATCAAAGCATAAGCTTTCTGGCTGCGGTGCTACACTCCAAAAGAGTATCAATGACAAGATTGAATCCCGTCTGAAACAAATCGAGAACCTTGAGGTCCTCAACCAAGAGCTTGCAAAGCGAGATTTTATAGCCTCAGAGGTTCCTGCAGATGGCAATTGTGCGATTTGGTCATTAGTCAGTTTGCAGAACGATAGTCCTGTGGTTGCAGATCAGGATGTGAGCTTTAGGAAGGCCTGTGAAGATCTACGTGCCAACATTGCCCAAAAGTGGGCAGATGTTTCTAGTGATGTCCTTTGGCAGACTGTCTTCAAAGATTTGGTCGCTGGATGGGACACGAATGAGACGACGAGTTCTGTCAAAAAAGAAGTCAAGACAGAATCGAAGACACCTAAAAAGAAGCGCAAGCCATCGTGTCCAGATGAGATTGTCGACCTGATCACACCACCCAAAAAGAAAGATTTTAAGGTTACGAAGGTTGGTCAGCAAGCCAGTGCTTTTCCTGCAAAACCACCACTTCCTGCTCCAGTACCACGGGGCCCACCTACTTCAGAAATGCAAGCAGAGAAGCAGCCTGCTGAGGAGACGAATTCAAGAAGGAAGCTGAAAAGAGCTCTGGAGGAAGAACTCCATGAGGCTCAAAATTCTTTCACCCAGAAGAAGTCATCCAAAAAGCAGAACATTGAGAATGCCAATGCTGTTCCTGAGGAGAACCCGCAGCAAAGGCGTCGACGGAGACTACGCACGTGCAAGAAAAAGGTGAAGGATGACACAGAAAAGCAAATGAACGCAGTGAAAATCTATTTGGCATCCAAAGGTGTCACATGGTCGTCTTCTCAGACATATCATGCAAGGTTTCCAATCCACAGCTCTCCGAGATGCAAGGACTTCGTGCTTTTGCAAACGTGTTTGTTGCAAGGGAAAGAGCCTTCTTGCTTGACATGCGCAGCTATGCTGAGGCACCACGAGGTTGACTTGCAGACATTATCTGAAGTGCTATCGAAGTCCATCGACCCAGAATGTTCATCTCCGGCAGTGGCAAAAATGGTTGGCTTACATCTTGAAGACAGTCCTGTGAAGAACAACAGCCCTAAGCCTGCGCCTGTGCCTTTGGAACCACCAGATGCAGCAACACAGGACATCGATATGTCTGACATGAGCAATTGGGCCATTGTTCCATATACAGGCCAGCCAGCAGACCAGCCAGACGAGTCCACTGTTGATGGTATGTCCTTGAACCTGGACAGCACTAGCAGCACTGTGAATGAGGAGGGCCAAGACCAGCAGGACAGAGATCCTTTTGAGAAAGTGAAGGCCAAGAGATACCTCAAGCTTTTGCCATTCAATTCTCATGACAGACGTATTCCAATTCGGTGCACCCTTTGCCGCTCGGCAAACCAACCAGAAGGAAAAGTATTTGAGGGGCACGAGGCAAAATACAAAATCATTTCTCATTTTGTGGACCAACACTGCAGAGGGCAGGGCCACCTGGCAGCTGTAGGCCGGATGACCGGCACAGGTAAATGGCCTGGGCCTGCAGATGCAGACGCCCCCATTGCAGATGCAAACACAGATGAGAAGGAAGCTACGCCCATGACAGCCTGTACCGGGCAGAGCCTCACACATGGGGATGACAGGAGCTCACTTTTTCGTGAGGAATTTCTTCATTGGGCACGACACACAAAACTGGCGAAGGTTTTTGGGAAACATACCTACAAGTTTGACCTTGGAGAAGGAGAGCTGGTGGTCTACCACGAATCTTGCGAGAGAGTCTGCAAACGACCAGCATCAGGGCTAGCAGTTTGCACCCCTTGCTCAGATGTGAAGTTGGCCCAGTCAGCTCTCAAATCAGCCATTCGATTTTGCCTCAAATACTGGGCTGCAAAAATTCTAGAGGCTCGGTTGTTGTGCAGCGATGCTCATATACAGGTGCTGTTGGAAGACTTTAGGAAGACCGCCCTGTACAAGACTCAGAAAGACAAAGCCGAGGAGTTGGTGACCATGTCGGAGAGAGACTTGCAGGCTTGGGTACGTAGGTCCTGGACCAAAGTGCGCCGTTGCGATTGCTCAGAACCGTTTCTTGGCAATTGTGACTGCAACCTTTCTATATCTTTCTATGATTATCTATGATTATCTTTGAATATCATTGATTTAATATGATTTCTATATATTTTCATGTTTATGAAATGCACCAACCAATTCATCTTGAATGAACCCAAGTGAAGATGTCAAGATATATCATTTTATAGATATCTGAAGCATTTGTCTTTTTATATCTTGTTGATACACTAATAATCACTAATAAGAGCATTTACTTTATAAAATAACCTGGTGGACTTTCATGGGTTTTATTCCTGAGAGGACTAAGATATTTCATTTTATAAACTACCTTGATGCTCAGGCAGCTTCTCTTTCTGGACAGTGTGGTGAGGCCCTTGCTTACAATCAGCGTGGATGATTGCAAGAAAGATACAAGGCAGCTAGCCAACCAATATGCCATGCAATTGGCATCTGGAAACCTGTCAGAGCTGGGTCAGGTGACATGCAGGATCATGAAGGATGCCAGCTCCGGACGGCTGGCCAGTTGTCCTGCAGCTCTGGGGATTGTGCTGCAGTGTTTGGAAATGGTCGACAGGCAGGAACGTGGTGTGCAGTCAATGAAGAGACCCCGGGCCATGACCGATAGCGAGGCTGCCATGGTACAGGAAGCTGGAGTGTTACTTGCTTCCAATGGTTGCTCACAGGATCTGATGAGGCGTTTTGGCTTCAATAAAAAGAACATTTTGAGAACTCATTGTCGCCTGGAGAACTTGTTGGAGGCCAACCTACCTTGCCCTGGCCTCTCCCTGGTGTTCCCAGATGTGTTGATGCAGAACCTTTGCATCATAGACAGCACAATAGCTCGACGCGAAGGATGCCACAAGAAGAGGATGGTCCTTTGCTTTGACTCAACCTATTTGCTTCCAATGCAACAGGCCCTACATCTTCATGGGGAAAAAGCATTGATCGGGTCGCCTTTTCACATGGGTGACATGACGAATCCAGACAAGACCTGCTTCCAGAAGATTGTACCAGGCGAGAAAGTCAAGGAACAGACCAAAGCCAATCGAATGCTTCTCAACTCAAGCTAAATGTTTTACAAAAAGACCTTTCGTGACATTCTGAGTCAAAGCTTGGGAGAACATGGGAGAACACATTTTATAAATCTAGCACCGTGAATTTCAAATCACCCAAAAGAAACAATGCACATCAATACATATCAATACACCAACTTGTTTATTTATAAAATGGCATCCTGTGACATTATGAGTCTAATCCAGGGATCACCGCTGAGAAAAGCCATTTTATAAATAATTTAGCAGAACAATTTGCTCCCAGATTTGGTTTATGTTGTTCAGCAGTTCTTTAGACACCAGTGTTGTCCAAGGATGGAATTCTTGATGTGGGATCCAAGCAGTCCAAACCATCAATCCTCGAGTTTGTGCTGCCTTCCATTGTCTCTGAAGTGGTTGAACTCTCCAGATACAACAAGTTCATGGGCTACTTGAAGTTAAAAGCAGAATGGTTTTGAATGTTTTTTTACTGCCTATTGCCTACCTGATTGGAATGGGACTGATGGAATGGTGACATGGTTCAGGAATTGCTACGTATCGTGGACGAGGTCATGTTCCAAGCTGCTGACTTTGTGCAGATGTTCATCTTTGATGGCGAGACATGTCACCAGATCATTAGAAGTGCAGTTCATGGTGACGCCAATCTTGCAATCAAGCGGCAGCTGATGGAGACAAAGTTCTTTTCCAAAATCAGATATCGCCCCATAGAAGGGCTAGAGTCTTTGCCAAGAATTCCATTGAAGATCGCCTTTGTTGATGGACACCCGCTTTGGGCTTTGCCGGGGCCTGCCCATGCCCTAAAGAATGCGGCGGCGCAATTATGCGCGGAGGGTAAGGTCTTGCAGTTCGGGTTGTACTTTGCAGACGCCTCTGGTGCCCTCTCAGGAGGGTTGCCGCTACCTGCCTTCACCAGAAAGGATCCGATGTCAGATCGGCTGTGTTCGCTCCTATCGAATCCTTTGTACCTGATCAAAGACAGCGAATTTTGACTGCAACCATGCACCGGCATTCATCCATATTCTAAAAGTGTGGCCAGATCTGGCCAGAGTTTACCAGAGTATATGCAAGATATTGCAAGACATATTGCTTACAATATGTTACAATATAGTTTATTTCACTCCATATGTCTTGATTGAAAGGCCACAATGAGAATCAATCCAATGGACGGAATATGACGGAATTAATGTTGTTTCCAAGGATTTGGAGAAGACAGACTGGAGCAAAGTGCACATCAGCTGGCATTTGCGAGGGTTTTTACTCTGGAATGTCAGCGCAGCCCTTTGCGCAGTAACTTGGGCCAGGAGACACAACTGGAAACAAACGGAAACATAGTTTTGTTTTTTAATCCGTACTGTCTAGCAGATATATAACTATTTTAGAAACAAGACAAACAAGACATTCTCTTTATAGGATGACCTGTGATGTTTGTTTTGGAGGGTTTCTGAAGAGAGAACCTGGAGACAAACATTTTATAAATACAAAGCGTGGCATGTGTTACAGAACTGTTGTTCAGGGGACGGGTTTATAAAATAGATTGTTGAGATACAAAACAAGGGGTCCAATGTTTTTCAAGAACACTCATTTCATAAATTGCTGGGTGTGGATGACAAACCTGGTGCTAAGCAAGCCCATGCTACTACAAAATGTATTTTTGCAGGTTTGAACCTAAATCACTCCAACAATCAAAGACAAATTCATTTTATAAAGAGGGTTTGCGTGGAATGCATGCACAGAAGCACATATTCCTTTGTTGGCTTACATTTGGCTGCATGAGGCACCAATACTCAATGGCAATCTGCCCCTGGCTGTGCGGACTGAACTTGCACTCTCTGGATTCATCTTGCTTGATCTCTGGGCTTTGGTAGCGTCGCAGAAAGAGACACGCTGTAAAGCAGGACGTGGCAGAATGCAATTAGCGCCACAGACGCGCAAAGCGTTGCAAGGGGTGGCCCTCACAGCTGTCAGCATTGCTGCTTCCAAGCATGAATCGTGGGATCCATGGTCCCGCAGACATGCACTGAGTGAATGCCACATCGAGCACTTTTTTGGAGAGCTGCGCAGCCAGTATCCCAGCTCAGACTTGACTGCCAGAGGATATATGAATGCATCGGCTTTGGTGGCACGAGCAAGAGTCAAGAGCGAGGGCAAAGCCTGGACGGAAAGACACCGGCAAATCAGAGCCTGCACTTGCACCAGATGAGCTACTCGTCTTTTTAGCTTAAAGATATGCAAAGAGATGCAAATGTACATAAATGTACAAAGAAAGATAAAGAAAGATACTTTTGATATCTTTTGATGTGAGATCAATTGAATTATAGTGAATTCTATTTCCATCTATTTCCCAAATAAATTGTTATGCTTTTCCTCGCTTGTGCAAAAGGCTTCGGACGTGTGCAAAGTACGCTTTGGCTTCTGCCCTGCACTTGGTCTCAGAATGCAGCGGGATCAGCAAGAATGTTCTGACGCAGATGTACCAGAATGAATGCGTCAATGATTTCTTTGAGGACGAGGACGAGGAATGCCCAGACGAATCCTTGGAGGAAGCCATGCAACAGGAAGCGCAGGCCATTTGTGATGCAGCTTCTGAGCAAGATATGGAGAAAGTCTTGGGCCACATTAGCGAAGTGGCCGCAGAGGAGTTCACTAGCGAAGATCGATTTGAGGAAGCAGATCCTGCTGAATGCAAAGATTTGGACGAGATGCTTCCAGACGGTGTGCAACTTTTGGATCTCACTCATGAATCCAAAGACTCCTCAGAAGCAAAAGAAATCTCTGGGAAAGCTGATTTCCCAAAGACTTTGAGAGAAGCTGTGGCAAGTCCCAACATGTGGGCAGGGCTATGGCAATTAGCAGTCCAGCTTCGATGTGGTGAGAATGGGATGGACGCAAAGTTCCTGAAAGCTGCTGAAGTGGTTAGGAAAAGATCAAGGAAGTTGAACTGGCATCAGTGCCTTAGACTTTCTATGACTTTTTTGAATCTTTTTAAGTTTGTTTATGTCTGTTTGATTTTGTCAGTTATTGGGGCGATGGAGCAGAGAAATTTGAAAAAACATTGCATATGTTTGTGAGGTCTTTGGAGATGGACCTGAAAGAGATTCGGATGCAGGAGGATGGCATGCTGGCGGGCCAGCGGGGGTCCAGGATGTCAAAGTGGATCCAATCGTCAGCAGAGCTCAGGAAGAAAGCGGGCTTGGACGCACCAGATCAATTTCAGAAACTTTGGCTGAAGCATGCTGAAATATTATTTTGATTCCCTCCTCATGCACCTTCACAATAAATATCAATAAACTCTATTATAAAATGACTTTGCTTGAGTTTTTCTGTGGGTATTGAATGAAGAATCTTTAGATTATCATTTTATACGCACGAAGCATGGCATTTGTTATGCAACTGCTGTTCAGGGATGCTCAGGGGACTTGTTTATAAAATGATTGTTTGTGCTGTTTTCCTATGTTTTCCTACATTGTTCCTAGAGATGATTCATTTTATAAATACAAAGCGTGGCAGGTGTTACAGAACTGTTGTTCAGGAGACTTGTTTATATAATGAAGTTTTGAGATAGAAACCAGGTATCCAATGTTTTTTTCAAGAATACTCAGTTTATAAACTGCTGGTTGAGGGTGACAAACCTTGTGATAAGCCACCCCATGTTACTACAATATGTGTTCTCGCAGATTTGAAACCAAATCCATCCAACAATCAAAGACAAACTCATTTTATAAACAGGCTTTTTGTGGGAGACACTCTTCTTGATGTTTTTTGGTTTTACTTTACAGTAAATCTGTTTGCTTTTTTTGATTTTCTCTCGGCTGCAATTTTTCATCGCACCAGGATGGGTCAAGTTGTTCTGCTGAACATGGGCATGAAATCAGAGCCGGCGGCGGGCGTGGTTCTGACATTGTTTCCTGTCGGGAAAAAGCCCAAACCATGTGCTCAAAGAATTCCCTTGACGCATGTCAAGTCATTCAGAGCGACGATCCTGGAGGAACGGGAGTTTGGCGACGATGTCATGCTGGTGCCCTCCACGAACACCTGGAGGTACTCACAAGAACATGTGCTAGCGATACTTGATGTGAAAGATGAGACGGATTTGGCTCAGGGCAAGATCTTTCTTACCCCTGAGTCTTGGCAAGTGCTTGAGCGTCTGAGGCTGTCCCAGAGCTACCTGACCAGACGAACAAGAAGCGAAAGCCGAAATCCATGAATTTCAAAGCCATCACTGGTCGCTTGCTCAAGTTTGCCAAAGCTCGGTCAAAGGATGTTGGCAAGAAAATTCAGTTGGCCGAGGATCAGGTCGTGATTCCCTCGGAAATCAGACGTTCTGAAAAGGGACGCAGGATCATTCGCGACGCATTGCTCAAGGCAGCTGCTCTTGATCATCTACATTTTGCAAAAGAATCCTGCTTTCGACGCTCACTCCGATATGTGCTTGGTGAAGAATTGTGGCGGTCTTCATTTCAAGGAATTCATCGAGAGGTCAGCCCTCTACTACCAGTTCAAATTTTTCGAGACGCGCAAGCCTGAGGCTTATGGTGCCAAGGTCCACAGTGATCTGGCTGGCATTCTCAGCGAGCTACACCAGAAGCCACCTGTGAGGAAACGGTGGCTTGCGCTGATTGTAGACTTGCATGCTGCTAAGCTTGCGGACAAGCTGGTTTTGTAGACCAGTTCAGAGATGTTTGCCAAAAGATGCCAAAAGGATCCAAAAGGTTCTGAGTTGTCGTTCTGAATTGGCTACTGGCGGAGCATTGCTTCTGGGGTTAGCTGCTGAACGCTTATAGACTCTTTGGTGAGTCTGAAACAGCGCAGCAGATTGTAGAAACCTTTGGATCATCTGCAGAAGAAAAAAGCAGGTCAGTCAATCCATCTGACATGTCACTAAAGTCATTTTATAAAAACATCTTTCTGGGGAATGTACCTTCCAGCAATGTCCTTCCAGATCAGACCTAAGCTCATTTCATAAAAAACACGTCGGTTAGCTACATTCTATCTGCAACCAATCCATGTCGATGGAGGCATTTTATAAAACACTGCGCTTTTCATTCTATAGAGAAAAACCATTGCTGAATCATGCCTACTCATTTTATTGCAGCAATCCCTTTATATAATGCAAATTGCTACCCCCTAGGCACAAGTATGGGGGATCCTTTTTCCGTTTCCATGACTTTATCCATCTTCATACTTTCATCTTCGGATGCTCGCCACCCCCAATGAGGCCTCAGAGAAAAAACCGGTTTCACCCTGCACAACGAAAAAACAGATTGCGCCTCGGGCTGATGACCGTTTTGATCGACATCAGTCATACTTTGATCAATTCAGCTGTCCCACTTTTACTGACAGTTGAAGCGAACGTTTCCCAGTGTACTTGCTTGACTCTGCACTACTAGAGTTCTATTTCTTTTGCTTGTGTCTTTTGATTGACTTGACCATAACAGCATGACACCTTTCAATTACTGTGATTTTACACTGACCGCCACCCTGTATGCTTTACTTGACCCTTCCCACCCTCCGCCCTTTCAGCGTGCTCAAGCCAACAACCCGCGATCCTCTTCATCAACGTTCCAGTTGACACCTTCGAACGGCCATCATGGACGCACAATGGCAGCAATATTACTGGAACCACTATTTGCTCCAGCAGCAGCAACATCAGCAGCTTACTAACCCAGACACCACTGTTTCTCCCCCTCCTGCGACCCACCACACCTACAACCCTACTGGCACTTACGGCCCACTCACTCACGCACTCCGCACGCATCAGGCCCACCACGCTCACCCATACACGACATCACCATACACGACGCCACCGCAGCACACACCGCCACAACAGGCTCCACCGTCACAGCCGGAGTTCCCACCTCCACCGCCACCACCACTACCCACAGCCGACCCAGTCACTCCACCGCCATCGACCTACAAACACAGCCCACCAGCAGCACCAGCTGCCCGCGCCGGCACTGCGCCTGCTCCACCGCCACCTCACATCCCTTCTCCCACTCCGCCGCCCCAAGACTCTTGGAACCAAACCGATCACCATTGGGATTCCAACACACTCCACGGCCACCAGCTCCACCGCGCAATCCAACCTACACAATGGTCTCGCAAAGCAGGGGTGGCAGGGCTTCCAACCTTCGACGTCTTCCCCTGGCAATTGGCGTACCATGGTACGGCCGAATTCACAGCCCGCACTCTTAGCAACGGAAAATATACGGGCTTTATTGCCACCAGAAATATTGCGGAGTCTGTTTTCGTTACCCACCTTCTCCAAGAGCTCCGCGAGAAACGCCTCGACTTGGACGGCGTCGCCGAGACCCTCCACACCAAACAAGGAACCGACATCCCCAGTAAGACAACACAGGCCCGGGCTTTCCACGCCCCCCTGATCAACCTACTCATCCAACAACTCCAATCCCACTCACCGGCACCAGCAGAGGGCACCGCGCTACGAGCTCTTGAGAACACCACCGATGAGCTCGCTCGCGCAAAACAGAAGCTCCACAGCCTGGGCGAACCCCTCACTCCAGTGAAGAGCACCAGCCACCCCTCCGCCCCGGCAGCCCCCTCACGTCCACCCACTCCACCACACAAGCCACCTGCGCTTTCCGACGTCCTGCAACCTCCACACCCAGCTTTGAAGGATGACATTCCAGACAGCTGGAACCACACTGACATCCAACACTGGGTCACCACCTTCGACCCCACCATCCAGGAAGCAGCTAACGAAGTTTTGCGCTTGCTACAAACCAGCAAAGTCACCACCCAGCAGTTGAAAGAGGCCGCCGCACGTTACGGTCTCCCCCTCAACCGGGTCAATCGCCTCCCCATTCGTAGCTTGCAACACCTGGTGAGTGTGGGGGCAGCCATCGGCTGCTGACTCGCTGTCCTCAGCCAGCAGCAACCCAGCCACACAACCTTACAACACCTGTTCCACTTACACCGAGCACTTTCCATTTTGATCCACCACACTCAATACATCGACCGCGCCGAAGCCATTTTTGCCACCGGTCTTATCCACATCACCTTACTCTTTGCATATCCCTCCAACACCCATCGCTCACAACAGTGGCGCAATCGTCTTCGCCAGCTCCACATCCTACCCCACACTTACCACTACCACAACTTCCTCTCATCCAACTCGGTTTACATCAAGCTCCACTTCAACTCTGACCCACCCCAACGCTGCTACCACCAGCATGGCCAAACTCAAACAACTACAGAACAACGTCCCTATTTCCGCTGAGCTTTCCCTACGCTACTGGCATTCCCACAACAATATCCACCACTACACCACCATCCAACTCACATCCCACGACACCTACGACCAAGCCTGGATCCAGGAACACCACTACATCGCCAACTGGATGCCTACCCTCAACTGGCCTTTCATCTCACACCACCTCAAACTCAAAGCTCAAGGATGGCAGTTCACAAAGCATCGAGCTCATTTTTACTCCAGATTAGCCACTCACAAACGACTCTTCAGACGCCTTCGTCAACGCCAACACACCCTCAGAGAACCACACCTTTACACCTCTACCAAGCATCACGCTCTTACGCTCCTCCGCAACCTTACCAAACATACAGCAGCCTCCTTCGAAGCAGCCAAACAACTGCGCAGTGGCCGACACACTGATCTTGAAGTCTACGCCATCCGGCGCATGGCCGCCAATCTTGAAGAACCTGGTCGCAGTCGAGCTCTCCACATCATCAATAAAGCCCTCCTCTACCGCAACCTCACACCACCCAAACCCAACATCCCATTAACAGTGCCTTTTCTGGCCCACGACGACTTCACCAAGCATTGCCAACAGTGGCTCCGTACCACTATACAACACCACAAGCACCTTGCTATCCCCCTGCACCTCCCTTCACACCGCCTCCGTGAAGCTGCACACAAAACTCTACGATCCCAACTACACAATCACCGCGCCTGGGAGGACACCCTCCATTCCCCCCAGATCCAGCGGACCTCCCCTGCGCATGCCCCCATCTTCGAACCCTACTGCAGGATCCTGATACACCCACCATCAATGGCCACTACATCCTCACACTTGATCAACTTCACCCCCCCACACACCTCAGCATCTTTCTCAACGCCAACATGAACAGCACCTACTATCCAAGCAAAGCCCGTTACTTCCTCACTTTCCAGACAGCTTACACGAAGTGGCTCAAGATGCAGGGGTTACCGCCCTCCCTCGTGGAGCACTTACACCCGTTCCTCACACCAATGGCGCCTTCACACTACACACCTTAAACAAGAACCACGATTCACAGCGCGCCTGCTTCGCCAGCTCCAAGAATACCTCGGCCAAAACACAGTGCTTCACCATGCCGATCATGAGCTTCAACAACTGCGACTGTTCTGCCCCCGCCAATACTTCACTGGCGCCTTGAACACCTGGCAATCCCCCGAACTTTTCGAGCCACTTCCCTACCTCACCATCGCCAACATCCACGACCATCTCCAAACCACCGTCCCACCCAGCTTACGCACCCGCTACAAATGGGGTTTCCGCAAGGATTTCAGTATCCCCTACGGTGTGGTCCACCTAAAAGAGAAGAAGCAGTGGCAAAAAGGCCGCACCATTATTTCCTATTTCCACTCACTCAGCGGCAACCTTCTCCGCATCACCAGCCGCGCCCTCGACATTATCCTTCAACACCTTTACCCTCAACACCCAGGACAACTGTCCATTCCACAACTCTGGCACCACTTCCACAGCTACCACCGCAAGCATCCCACACAACGCACCATTCAGACATCCGACATCACCACCATCGTGGCTTTTGCACTCAACACTTGCATTTTCCGGGCTTGCAACAACACCTACAAGCAAATCCGAGGAGCTGGGATTGGCTCCCAACTCTCTCCAGCCCTCTGCAATGTAGCCATTACACTCATCGAACACTCCTGGCACCAGATCCACAACAACCTCCTGCAGCACACAAGCCTACATTTCACCTACTACCGATATGTGGACAACCGCTTCATTGTTCACAATGAACATTTCCTACACCATCCCGCCATCCAAACCCTCATCCACCACAACTTCTTCGGCGACCCAGTGGAACTCGAGCCTGTGGACGACTTCCACCTCCTGGGTTTCAACATTGACCTCCAACAACGCACCATCACCTACATGCAACCTTCCCAACCCTGGAAAATCAGGGATTCCACCACCGCCGGGAGCCAGCGCGTGGCTCTATCAGGCCTCCAACCCAGACTTCACACCATTCGAAAATACACATTTCCACCCTCCAGCGCTGAAGCTGCTGCCGCCGAGCTAGTGAGGCTCTATGTCCAAAAAGGACACAACCACCACGCCTGCCACCGTTTTTTGAAAAAAGCGCCGAAGCCGGCGACTTGTGTGTGTCCACCCCTGGACGAAGGGCTCTCTACCACCACCTCGTTTCCACCCAACCTCAGCAGGGGAACTGGGCACTCTGTGGCTGACCCAGTTCAACGAAGCTAGGTCACAGAGTGGGATATTCGGACTGATCATCCGAACGTACCTGCGAAGTTCTTCACACGCTGTCACCCCACTTCTCCACGGTTTGTTTCATGGTTCTTCATGATACCTCCCACAAACTCACCGCCACCTTGCGCCGCTTTGCAGCCAACTTTGAGTGTCAGATCGTTTTCGAGCGCAGCTGCCAACATTGTTCAACAATACGGTTTCTGCGGACTCATGCACCTTTCCGTTCCTTCACCTTCCTTCTCAACGTGGGAACTGAGTTCATTGAAAACCAATGTCAGAGTGTGGGTGCGTGTGCGTGTGGGTGTGTGTGTGTGTGTGTCGAGTTCCCACAAGGCTCCTAGTGCATAGACCATAGGCATGGATACGCTGGATGTTCTCCCATTAGGCGTTGACAGGTCCCAGTGGGAGGTGATGTTGTAATCATGCCCGTGACAGCGTCTCTCAGGGGCGGCTGGAACAAGTGTCGCTCGGATCCATCAACGATCCATGCACACAGCCCGCATGGCATGCGCTGGACGCTGGGACAGAGAAACTGGCTTTTGGGGAAAGGCAGTATCCCCCAGTGCGCCCTAGTGCAGCGTAGAGGTCAGGAATTTGGTTCTAATTATTTGACCTCGCTGAGCCAAGATCCAACCAGACTGGCATACAACGATCAGAACGGAACGGATTATTAATGCATATTTAGATCAAGTGGAAGTACTGTGAAGAGTCTGGGTTCGATTCGGAAACCGATTTCTGGGACTCGGCTCCATTCACCAGAGGCTCCCCGCCGACGCAGATGCTTTGGGAGTCTACTAGGATTCATGCTGGCCTTCGGGCCCCTCTGAGCGTGTATATTAAAAGCTTGACCATACCTATCGCCAGCTGAATTTTAGGAGATGGACCAGCGGCTACCCCTTCGATGAGGACAAACTTTTTCGCATTCTCAAGGCGCGCACCTTTGGGGCTAGTTGTGTGTGTGCGTGTCGCCGCAGGCTCCGGCGACACCTGGCGGTTCGTTTGTTATTCTCGACTTGTATCGGTCTTATAATTTAGACTTGTTCGGACTGTTTATAGTACGTAGTACTGTTGATATACATGCATGTATATATATATAGCCCCCTGTCCCAGGCTGCTTGTACATCTCCTCATATAGGGGCCGCAGGTAGACACTTTGCCCGCGATTGATGGGTTGCCTGGCGTTTTCGGTGGCATATCGCCTATGCTGTCACCAAACCGGAATTGGGTCATCGAAATCATCAGTTTCGCAGCAGTGTCATCGCGTGGCCATTTGTCTACACAGTCGGGGGTAGGTGAGAGGCATGGGGTGTTGACGAAGTCATCAGTGTGAGAAAAGCGTCACTGATTGCACAACAGTCTTGCCATCGGCTTCACAACATTGTCATCGATCTCACAACATTGTCCTTAATATCATGGCATGAACAAAAGTGCGATCGGAAGTTTCATGAAAACAGGGATCGCCGATGATTTGGGGTGCGTTTTCTATGTGTTATGCGGAAACGGACGGGACCTTGCGGGCAAAATTGACAAAAAGGGAGTCGGCCTGACAGGACCGGCTAATTGACAAGCATGTTCTATCCTGCCGTATCTATGCTCACGACAAGTCGGTCGAGGCAAAGCTGCTTGATTGATGTTGGCATTTTGGGGAGCTGCAGAAGGATAATAATGGGTTTGTGCAAAAATCATGGCTCCAACCTCAGGATGAACATAACTTAAAGCATCATGAATTTTTGACAATATTATAACTTCTTGACAAACACTTTTGTTTGTGGCATGCATTTTGATTGGCATTCGACCCATTTGCCTTCGAACCCGGGGTCAATCAATTTTCAACCTCTTGAAAGCATGGACTCAGATTGCTGCACATTCAAGAATCAATGCGAGGAGCTCATAATACTTGGCACCTTGGAGCCTCCGATCCAAGGTTACCGAATGGCTTGGTTTGCAACCACGCCTATGCTTTGCTTCAAGTGCTTGAGGCTGCGGGGGGCTGACGTTTAGAGCTGACGGAAGAGTTCGAAGACGCCATGTTCGCTGACAAGCCAGTTCAAGTTTTGAATGGTGTGCGTGCGATCCTGAACAGGGAGATATTCCCAATGTCCTTCTTTCACCCCTCGATTGGATTCCATATAGACCACCACCATGCGGGGGATATCGTGCCACCTATACTCTGAAAACAAGTCGGCCAGCTCGCTGGATGTTCATCATACGAAGATCCTCTTCGTAGGCACCCCACTGCAAACTAACATAGACCCTGAAAACCAGTGGTGCAGCTAGAGGAAAACCGCCTTCGAGAGTGCCATTCTCAGGGTCCATGTTAATTTTTGGAGTGTATTCTGCATGATAGTTGTTGATGTTTGTGTTCGCAGGTGGCACCTGATTTTGCAGGCAACGACGACAACGGGTGTTTCGTGTGGGATGGCGCATTACCATTGTGCGATCGAGTGATGTTTGTTGGAGTGGAGGCTTGCTTTAGGTTGCAAGCGAGGCCACCAGTATGCAACACAAGCTGACACACCACTGTGTACCTCGGGTCGCGCCACTTTCTGTCACTGTGATGGACATGTCCATGTTTATCAAATCTTGATCAATTCCTCCTTTGCGGTATGATCCACTTTGTTGCAAGCCCGCGAAAAGGAGACCTTGGACAATGGAGACCCCGTGAAGTTGGTGCAATGTCGGAACCCTTGGGGCACAGGCAGGGCATATTTCGAAGGCTGTCCGAACAACCGTACTCCATCAGCATGGCAGCCTGGCAACTGTCATGCATGGGTCAAGCGCGACTGTCAAACCACAGAATGAAACGTCCGCAATCGACCGCTACATCCGGCAGACCAGCATGACCACACGCTTTGTCTCCTGAAGTGACTTGAGTGAGAATGGTAGGTGTGATTACCATCGTTTCAAACTGACCAGATGCTACCACTGGTCGGAGAGGGTTTTGGTTTGGACATGTTTGGGCAGCCGACTCAATTGTTTATGCCAGAATAGTTCCAGCTTCGGCCATGTTCAGCCATAAGGAATTATAGACACAAGATTCTGAGGTTCTATTTCTGGTTTCTCAGTTACTCGAGCAATGTGCAGAATCTCTGAAGGGTACAGATACAAGTAATTTGTTTTGATGCAGGTGGTTTCGCCGTACAATGTTCAGATTTATGTCAAAGATCGCACACCTGTGAGTTTGTCTCTTCAAGGGGCCTTTGCAGAAACACATCGACGTGGATGCTGAGCCCGTATGAAACTGCGGTGTCACTAGAGGTGCACATGGTAGATGTGCAGGTCCTGAACAACCACATGCTTCGTATGTTCATGTCTTTTCCCGTGATCGGTCCAAGTCGTGTTTTTTGTTATATAATGCTTAGCATTCAAACAACACGTTTGCCCCCACAACCTTGGCGAGGAACCGGTTGGATTCACTGGGACCCTTGCTCTCTTATACACTCTATATATATAATAACTAATTTCTGCTTACAAGTAGTGCTAGAGTCTGGAGACAGTAGGCTGTTTGTTGGATCCTCAATGATCCTCATTGACGTGAAAGATCTTCCAGAACTTTCACTCGAGCAGGTGAGTGGAAGGGCGACTGGGCCGATTTCGCCCCTGAGCTCACTGGGCGGTCGGCAATGTGGGCTGAATGCCTGGGATAGGTTGAACCGAAAACTTCCAGAAGAAGGACAGCAACTGGAAGATATTGGAAGAAGGTTCAGCAGCACTTCAATCATTTATGAATGTCTGACATGGAAGTTTCCAAATCCCTTCCTTGATTGTCCCGTCCATTTCCCACAAATAGACCTAACTCACTGCATTTTTGCAGCTATTGTTTTGGGTTCGATTCGGGTAGTAGATGATGAGCACATATGAGCACAGCTTCGTGAAATCAAATCAAGCATGCAAGCATGTGATTCATCAGACTGTCTGTGGAACTGGCCGTTTCTTCCTCATTGTTCACAAACATTCTTCCAGAACAAATACTATAAGTCGTATCATTCCGAGAGGAAGAACATGCACCCGTCGACATGGGTGTTTTCACACCCAAACAGATTCACGACTGACTTCCGCGAGATTTGTTGAGTAGGACGCAGTAGGACCATCTATATAAAGGGTCCGGTCCTACCCGGGTGGCCCCCCAAATCCCACAACTGGAGCTGAGGACCATGTGAAGAAAGGCGTTGCTTCGCGGAGGTGGCAAGAGAATCCGCGGCTGCAGCAGCGACTCGAGGCAGATCAATCAAACAATCTTGCCCACTGGTATGATGGATGCAGTTTAACATAATGATGGTATCATATTGCTATCCCATAGTGACTGTGACACTACCGGAGCATCCCAGAGCCTCAATGAGTCAGTATCAATTACGCAGAAAAGGGCATATGACTCACCTACAGATCCTACAGCCCACATAGGCACCAGGAGGCCAGCAGAAAAACAAGCAACATTGGATCGTTGGGCAATGAATTTCAAGACATGTACATAATGCAAAACAAAAATCTCGATGTAAACATGCAGAACATGTCACGTCGCTGTTAGTTCCCGTTACCCTCAGAGGGCTACAGGGAAGTAAGTCACCAAGCACGACGAAGAGACCTGCAAGTGACTGCCAGCACGCCCATTCTGGAGGTCGGCCGAAAGAACAATGGCAGCTTCTTCATGTCCTTCGAGGTTTCCTCGGTTTCGTCGAACCGGGTGTTTCCGCCGGCTTCCGCCGCCACCGGTCGGTCCGGCGGCCAGGAGTTCAGTGGAAGCTTCAACCGGATCTACGTGTGTCCCTGTGGCGACCGGCCCATAGAGGCCGAAGAGCTGGCGGAGGCGGGAGGGGTTTGCGCCGTAGCACACCATGCAGTATGAAACGTGCCACAAGGGTTGGCCCATTTGGGAGGGGTAGGTACCTGCAGCCATGGGGCATCTAGAATATGTTTGAATGTGATTGCAGGTTAAACGCAGAGAATTGAGCAACATAGTCAATACCTTTGATGCAGCCAATCATATACAGCAGACGGTGCCAAAGCACCCGGTGCCGATCATGCATATATGGGCCGACATCGTTTCTTGGTGCATTCTATTTGGCTGGACGGTTGGACCGTAAAGAGAACAGTGGTTCGTGAAGTTTGTGGGTTGATCTCCTTTGATTCCGGTCAGACAGCGCAGCACACGACTTCGTGAGGAGGCCGAGGGCGAGGAACATCCAGGTTTCCTCTCACGATTCTTCAGCTGGTCCGCCGGACTTTCCCAATCGATCCTGAACTCCTGAGGCCCCGGCCCCTGCCCAAACGCCTGGCCCGGCCGAGTGGTAAGAGGTGAAAACGATTTAACAGATCGAGATAGGACCAAGCAGATATGATGGAAGGACCTGATAGGACAATTTAATTGAAAAGAGGAATTGGTCGAATCTTGCTCAGTGAAGGCGTTGTAGTTCTCAAGGGCAAGCCAAACCATTGGCCATCCGAAGGATTGATCAATGGCGTTTCGGGACAAAGACTCCTGGTGCAGCTTAAGAAGACCGTGGCGTGCACGAGGTATAAAAGACCTTGAATGAAGAGCACGCACACAGGTCGTTGCCTACGCTTCATTTGAGCCATACCATTGGGATGAGATTGCTATGTGAAAAAGAGCCGCTGAAAGCGCAGCCATTGGAGTTGTCATTTCCTGGTGCCTTCGGTCAATTCCAGCCGATGGTTCTTGCAACGAAGATGCATCCATTTGGTCCTTGGAATCCACTGTCCCAAGAATCACCCTCGGCTGCGCTGGCCATGGGACCCAAGCGCCGCTGGAATTATGGTGAGCAAGTCATCCCAGTTCCCCGCAACTTCCTTTGCAAACAGCACGTCTCGTCCTGCAGCGCAGCAGGAGTTCGTGAGCTGCGTGCTGCGCTTCATGACCGGGGAGTCTTTAGTCACCTCCTCGATGTCGATGCACAGCAGCTTTGAGCTGCTGGGCTGCAAGAAACCGATCAAAATATACATATCAAAGGGTCAAGGAGAATGTATTTCAATCTGATTCTTCTTTGCAGAGTAGTTTGGATGAAGATCAGGAATGAACAGCTGTTTGTCCTTGTCCCTATTCAATGCAGGTTCTGGCGCAGCGCGGTAGGTTGCTATGAAGATCTTCTTTTTTGGTCTCTATTCATGGTATGCGTGCTCATCCACGGTAGGAAACCTGTGCCCGAGCCCCAAATCTCAAAGATTCTCGGGCCGGTGAGTGTTGGTGGAACTGTGATTGGCAGAAAGTTTGGGTTGTTCGGTCCTCCTGGATGGTGCAGGAGATCAAGTCTGCAGGATATTTTGTGGATCATTGCAGTGGGTATGCGGCACATGAGTTGCAGCACTGGACTTCATCCACGCTTTTTTTTCAGTAGCCAAGCATCCCCCAGAATCAGAAACACAACTCCCGGGCAAGACGTCTCCCTTTAAGGTACTTTTTAAAATCATTGTTTGGACCTTAAAGATCTAAAAGCGATGAGTCCAGGGTCCATACCCACAAGCCGGGGGTTTTCAGGACTGACCTCGCCGCCGCGCGGGCGGAGCGTGCCTGGGCAGGATTTGGGCAGATCCGCTCAGGGAAGTCTCAGAGATGAGTGAAACATTAAAAAGCCCCAGTGGCAAGGCGATTCTAGAGTCTATATAGAGAAACGGAATGCTTGTCTAGAATCTTCCATGACAGTGGAATTGGACATGGTGCATGGACCAGTTGGGCGGTCAAACTCGTGATGAATCCGTTGCTTCAGTGTGATACTTTTGTTTGTTGGGTTGGGACGTGAACACCCAAGCTGAATTCTCAACGTTTGCCTACTGCAGCGGTTGAACATAGAAACAGTTGGACTACTGAATGGCAGACAACCTGCCCTGGCAAGTGGGCAACCAATTCAGCAACTGATTTGCCCTCATGATTGGCGATGAAAAAAGCACATTTCTGCACTTTACTCTATATGTATATGTTATTTTTGCAGGCCATCGGCAGTAAGACCGAAGACCACCATGCAAAGGAAGATGCTCGAAAATCAGGTGGCCATTGTCAATCTGCGGGTTTCCAGGAGTTGGCTTTGCCCCAAGAATGGGATCTACTGCAGGATGGTTACGAACCTTCATTTGTTGTGAACACGACAATGCATTGGGGAGGTGACAGCAGTATGTCGATCAGGTTGTTGGCTAGCCACCCGCGCAATGCCCCTGTTGGTTGCGATCCCACCGATGTGGGAGAAGTAGCCGGCCAAGGAGCCAGAGTTTCCCTAGCTTCTGACCACATCCATTTTCCTTCTTTCAGGATCTTGTGTTTGCATCACTTTTTTCAGCATACGATGCAGAGGTTCACGGCCCCAAGGCCGGCCCCAAAACATAGTCGTTCCGGCATGGCTTATGGAGCCCTTGGATTTTCTTTGTAGGATGTCTTCACCAGTGAGAAACACTTACTTCGAGAACATGCCTCGTTTCTTCAATGTGACATTGTTGGAGACCATTGACGGTTTGGGGAAGACCCGAGTTCGCGTGCGGTGGCTGAGCCTTCCAAGGACAGAGAGAGAATAACGCAACGGGCGGCTTGCCTGCCATTGTGGGGTGGATTTGGGGGACATGCTGCAATCACGATGCCTCCCTTCATTCATGTGGCACAACCGGTTTTGCACATCGATATTGGCTAGCCGCTAGCCTCATCAGGCTCCACCCTTTTGTAGCGACAACGGAGAAATCTGTCACATCTCCGATGGCTGACCGGCATGCAGCGACATGCATGGAATTTTTGGACCTTTTGGGAGAGCATCCCATACTTTGCCAAACAAAGGATTGGTTCCATGGTGCCCCTGTTTTTTTCAGGGCACAGCTGATGCCGAGACCCATAAACTCACATGGACTCGTGAACTGTGGCCGAAATACTAATGCCGCACCGTTTCGGGAAAAACGCACTGGAAAGGAACGACTCAGGAGAGCGATGGAGAGCCAAGATCACTGGAGAGCAGTGGGTGACAGGAGAAAAGAATAGAAAAAACAAATCCCAAGACCAAAGGCTGTTCCCAGCAGTGCAAGTTGAAGCAGCATCGTTCCGTGTGTTCTTTTCGCGGGAGCATGTGCCGTGGATTCGCCGAGGCGCGGCGCTGGCGGACGAGATGGCTAAGTGGACCGATGAGGAGATCTCCCAGTGCTGGGCATCGACGCAAGGCGTGATCCGTGCGCTGCCCGGGGTGCCCAGAGCCACGTTGTGCCGCAGAGAGGACATCCGTTGGAATGACCCACCGGTTGAAGGCTGACGACCTAAAGAACGCAAAAACGCAGGCGCAGTTGTCAGCCCGGCAGGGTGTATTTGTGGGGAGATGTGGGATTCAAACATGTTGTTGTCGGTGTTGACTCTTGAAGAATGCGGGGTTCGGCTAATTCTCAAATCACTTGCTCAAGCTGATCACGAGAAGTGCCTGCTGATCCCTTTCTGACTTGAGGTCGACCACTACTGGGTGTGCCTCCGCGGTCTTTCAGGCAGCCCTTTTGCACGGTTGGGGCATGCTGAAGTGACCCTCTAAAGAGTGCAGAAGTTATGCAACTCACGTTAATTATCATTGATCCGATATAACTAACTTAAAGGTCTATAAATTTTGATCAATTTAGAGGCTGAAAAATCAAAAAGCGACCCTGCAGCGAGATGCATTCTACCACCTGATCAAAATCGCTGTTCTTGAGCTGGGGACATGGGAACGAGTCTGGAAGCGTTGGATCCATTTTCTTGGAGAACCACCATGTCCTGCACAGCCTTGGGAGAGAATGCCTTTGTTTGTGAAGTCGTCCCGGTCCCGCAAGCACCGACCAGCTGCCTTTCGATTGAAATAGTTGGGTGCCAAATGTGAACTGAATTAGCCAAGGACAAGCAGCTACTCAATTGTTTCTCAGTTTCAGTCCCACCAGATCTGTGCCCCGCTGCCTCCGAACAACTGTGCGGGGCACGGTGCGGACATGCCGGCACCAGAGAGCTACGCGTAGGAGATGTAAATTGACATCCTTGCTACTAGATCTACTCGTAGCTTCTTGTTACTAGTAGTAATGGCCTCCAACCAAATAGAGATGGCCTCCACCGTTTCGCTTGTTTGGCCATTTAAACGGACAGCTTCGTCGTCTTTCGTCGTCACCCCAGGTCCTCGACGAGGATTCGGATGGCGCCATCGACCGAGAAGAATTCCGGAAAGGATTGAGGCGTTGCGGCGCGAAGTCGTCCGAGCGCATGGCATCGCAGAAACAACCATGTGTCGGGCCATGCTGCGGATTCGTGTCTAGGCCCAGTCTAGGCATCCATTGGTTCATAGCCCAGTATAGGGACCACTAGAGGGACCCGTTTTGCACCAGCGAGCTTGTGTCAGTTCTACTCTGAGTCCTGTTCTGTATTGCCAGCATGTTGTTATGGGATGTTACGGGCGTTTGCTGCTTTTTGTGTATTTGATGCTCGTTGAACGTTGATTTCGCATCTAGCCACCATCCCGCCAGGCAGCTCCTTGCAGGGAACAACCTGCTGCGGAACATGCACGTGTGCCTCGGAAGCCGAAGAAGCAAAAACCATCGACGTCGGAAGAATGGACGGTACTGTACGGTGGTTGAGGCGATTCCTGGCGATACCTGATTCTTTTGCTTGCACAAGGGGGATGCACTTACACGACATGAAAAGATCCGGGATCCAGAGGGTATGTGGATCATTGTGGATTTATAGGGCAGGGAGTCAAGCATATAACAGAAATACCGACTCAGTACCTTCCAAAGGCGTCACGATTCATGGGGTCTTGTCCTGCTTTAACTTTTTCAGAACTCAAAATAGTGGGGCTACTCTTGTTCCTGGGTCACTACATGTTCTATTCGGCTGTTCAACCACTTCCATGAGGTGGGAGCCCTTGCTCTGGAAGCTCGTGGATGAGGAGCCAATCCGACAGGGCATTGCATTTTCTTTGGGGGGGGCCAGGAGCCGGAGGTGATGTGTGTGTTTGAAAAACAAGCTGAAACAGGGGAGGCTTCCCCTTCTTGAGGTTTTGAGATGTGCCTAGTGGCTACCGTCGGCTCATTTGGCCTGGTCTTGTTCGGAGTGTGCTTCATTGTCAAGTGACTTGAATTGGACACCGCACAAGCTGCAGCAAGGGGTGGGGGTGGGGACCCTGGAAAGAGAAGCAGAAGAACTTGACTCAAGAATTTAGGTTGCTAGGTAGGTGAGAAGGACACACTGACATTGAAATGTGGTTGGTTTCATGGCCGTACAGGTTTTCCAATCGATCTTGACACATGGGCTTCGCACTTGCCAGGTCTAGAGCTAGTTCATTGATGCTTCGAGGTTGGTTGTTCGCATCGCATCACAGGTCGTTCGCGAGAACCTCGACCCCCACGATCGGTCTCGGTCTCGGTCCCGACCAGGACTCCAGTGGTGTGGTCTCCCCGCATGAGATGAACTTGGCCTTCTCGGTGCGAGCCGCTTGGTCGCGACCCAATGACCCGGGGGTCGCGATGGGGCGTTCCTTTTCGTCCAGGTTTTCCAGTGAAAACGAGGTGAGGGACGCTTCGATTAACCATGCCCGGGTTTGGTGGGCTTGGATGGGCCGGACCACGTTTCATCGGCAGATGTGAATGATGTGAGAGCCAGCCAGAGATGATTGCTGATAAGGAGACATTTGAGGATGGTTTGATGCTGTGTTTGGAAAGTCTTTCAGCATGAGAGGTGGAAATCCCCCTTTGAACCCTAATTAATAGCACACACCATGGCCTCACTTATGATAGTGGGAGGTTTAGACAGAGATGTCGGTAGAGGGGAGCCAGGGAGTCCTGTGGGACAACGGTGAACCGGTGAACACTAATAGCTTCTTGTTACTAGTAGTAATGCCAGGAGCT